ATATTATTGCCTTTTTTTAATCAGGCAATATTAAAAAATAATTTTTTACCATCAAGTAAACAGTGAGTTAGGTATTTGCAAATTATTTTTATTTCTTACGTATAAACGTAGTAACTGTTTCTTTGTTTTTTTGTTTCGCTTTTGCTTTGACATTTCGTTTCAAATTCATTGGAAAATTTGAGCGATAATTTCCAATAATTGTGATTTTGTAAGCAAATTTTAAGTAAAATATATACTTGGAGCAGTGCCTCGGATGGCCACGATAATGCACTTTGGTCTAACAATTTAAGCGTATAATATTTTATAAATAATATAACTGATAAAATTCAGAAATGTAATTTTAAAATGTTAACGAAAATAAAGGTCGTAATAAAATTCCCTTTAAAGTTAAGATATTTAAAAACTAAGTACGCATATACATGTACTTCAGAACTTAAGGAAAAAATTCAAATAAAATTCCATACGGGCTAATATGTAATTTTTAGTAGAACTTACGAATAATTAAATAAAGAGATCGGTATAATTTAATTTGTTTTAATATATTTAAATGAAAGACGGAAAATAGTCCTTATTTTTTAAGTTTTAACCATCATCATATGTGTGTGGTACGACCGTGTTGCCTTTAAGTTTTACAAATAATAATTTTAAGTTAAAAAAATATAACGGAATAATAATTATTAAAATCAATATATTTGATAAAAAAAAAAATTAAGTAATAATAATTTCTTTTGAGTGCAAAAATTAAACTGTAATTACACTGGTTGGGCTCCACCGATATATGCAAGTATTGGAAATAGTACCCAAAAAGTAGTAAAAATAATCCTAATCTTTTCGCCCTTTTTCTACTACCCCAAAATGCATGGCCGCAATTGGCATGCAGAAAAAGTGGGGTTATGTAAGTGACACCACCTTACATTTGGCCACACAAAATCCTTTAAGTTTTTTTCTTACACTGCATTACCACCATTTTCTCTTCTCAATATACTTTAGAAATTTTTGTTTAGACATTTACGTTTCAAATAAAAATACTTCAAATTGATGCTCCGAAAGTTGTTTGTAAATATTTTTTCGAAAACAATAAAACATTTAAACATTTTGCATACCTCGATAAATCGCCTTAAAGACGGTCCCAAAGGCACCGCGGCCCAAAATTTTATATTTGGTGTGCGTTGGGAGTCCCTCCTTGAGTATCTCATTGCGATTTGGCGTGTTCAGGACAATTACCTGCTCATTGAATGGCGGCACTTGTAGTAATGCCCTAATAAGTGGAGAATTCGTGAAAAATTATTTAAATCAAGATTTGCGGGAAGCGGAAAAATAATTTATCTAATTACATTTTAGTATTTATTTTCGTTGCTGCAGGATTTTCGTTTCTTCGTTTCTATTTTGCTATTATTGTTTGCTCGCAGTGCTAACGGAATATTTTTATTTATGTTTGGTTGTTTATGCGCCTGTAAATTTGTTTATATTTTGATTTACTTGACAATAAACAAACAAAAGCTTTGTTCACTTGTCAGTGCCTCTATTTCGTTGTAAACAAGTTAAGCCGTCTCCAGTGGTTGGAGAGTCAAAATGGTCCATACGCAAAGGTAAAGGATAAATGTTGAAATGATTGAAGTTATCGCGATCGCATAAATTGAAGACCAACAGAAAAAATAAGCGAATTTAATAAAACAAATATTGAAGAAACTAAATTTAGCTTATGAAAAACAAACAACACCACTGACTAAATAAAACTAAAATACATGCTACCAAAAGCAGGGTAGTTTCACTCAATGACTTTGGCCGCAATGGCCGCCATTTGACCTGTGCTGGCATTATGGCATCTCTATCAAAATCAAGCTACCAGCCACAAAAAAGAATATTTTTGAACTGCAATTGAAAAAAATTCAAACAGATTTTAAAACAAAAAATTAGTCATTTTAATAAAATAAAAAGTGAGTTGCGAGTTTGAAAGCTGTAGGAATCTTATAAATTTGTGCAAGGATTTCAGAGTGGAATTTTTCAAATTTTCTCGGTTATTATAAAAAGGTGGTTAGAAGCATGTAAGCTTGTAACGTGAAGGAATAAAATCTTCCCGAAGTACGATTTGTTTGTTCAAAGCAGTATATCGATGGCTGAGTGAAAGATCGATCTATCTCGGCAGCCAGTTCAAAAACACCCTATCTCAGAAAACGTTTCACCCTATTTAAGGATTTTATTGAAAAACACCTTGTCTCAGAATTTGGTTGAATAACGCCCTAACTCAGAATTCGGTTCAGAAACGCCATATCTCAAACTTAAATACATTGAAAATAAGCTGAGATAGGGCGTTCTTCAACCAAATTCTGAGGTAAGGCGTTCTTCAACCAAATTCTGAAGTAGGGCGTTCTTGAAAAGTTTTCTGAGATAGAGTGTTGTTGAAAATTTTTCTGAGATAGGGCGTTTTCGAACTGGCTGCCGAGATAGGTCGATCTGCCACTCAGCCATCGATATGTATTTCCTCAATTTCATAGGTTTTGGAGAAACTGTAAGTATATGTATGT